TATTTTATTTTTTAATTTAAATATATAATTTGTCTTGACTATATTTTGATTATTAAGTTACAATTCCTAAACAAATAAAACATAATATTATGTTTGTTAATATTATTTTATTTAAATTTTTTATTTATATTTATTTATGTTAATATTATTTTTTTATCTACATATAAAAAAACAACAACTATAATTTATTATATTATTTAAATCATTTTATTTTTGATTAGGATTATTCCAAAATACACACAAATATATTGATATTTAATCTCTAAATATTTTTCTGTTGAATATCCAGCCAAAAAAAGTGGTATATTGTTAATGCAAATATTGCATAAAGTTAACATACAACTTGTATCTTGTCTCTCATCCAGTCAAAACTGAGCCTGAAATCACCTTTCTGATACCAATTTATGATTCTAAATAAGAAAGATATAGTTAAATATTAAATACTGCGTAATATATTTAGTGTTTGTTATAAATATCTAATATTTTAATAATTAACAAAACAAAAAAAAGATAGTAAATTTATTTATATAATACTGAATTATTTTAATCATTTTAATTATATAATTTAAGAGTCTTTTGTTTTGAAATCAATCATGTGTTTTAGTGTTTCATAATGTGAATCACTGGATTATGCCACAAGAGGCACAGATTGTTTGTGTAATTATTTGTTATTTAATCAACAAACCATTTTTGTTGAATTTCCACTGGAAAATTGTGATATATAGCATTACTGTCATCTATTATATCATACTGTGATGTAAGACTTTGCTCAGCTGCCCACCTGTATCTCACACACTCACTCACACACGCACGCACGCACGCACGCACGCACGCTCGCTCGCACCACTCTCACACACGCACACACACACACGCACACACACACACACTCGCACGCACACACACGCACTCACACGCACGCACTCGCGCGCACGCACACGCGCACTCACTCGCACACACGCACACACACACACATGCACTCGCACACACACACACGCACTAAATCACACACACACACACACACTCGCACACACACTCGCACACACACTCGCACACACACTCGCACACGCACACACACTCAGCGGGAGGACATGCGAATGCATCGCTACCTTTTCTAGAAGAATCTTCACGCAGGTCACGTGACCCTCGTAAGTGGCAGACAGCAGCGGGGTGATGCTGTGTTTATCTGGAGCCTGTCGAGAAAAACAGAGCAGAATTCAGAGGAACATACAAACCCCCGAGCACATCAGTGTAATTATCGTTAAATACAGCATCTATGAATCAGACGGAGAGAGAGATGCACGCTGGGTTATCAGGCGTCTTCAGAAGTCTCTTATCTCAGGAGCATTGGCCCCTTCTGTCCTGGAGAGCGAGCTCTGATAGACGCAAGAGTGCTCATGATCAGACCATAGACACGCTGAGAGCACAGACTATGAGATTCACACTTTCTGAAGGAAATGCGAATGGTTTCGTTCAAATCTGGGTTATTATGGTGAACTAAAAATAAATAAATACAAATAAAAAAATAAACATAAAAAACGTATATATCAGCAACATTTTTTCATTTTTATTTAGTTTAACTTGATGTACTAAAATAACTACAACTGAAATAAAAATAAATATTGAAATGTGTATTATAATTACAAAAAATATTAACATTATTAAATATTTCATATACCCATTAAATATACATATTTAATAACAAACATAATACAAATTAATATAAATAATTTATTATAATTATATATTAGATTATGTTAATTATAATTTAGAAGTTTTTTTTTTACTTCTTTCATTTCATAATATGAAACGGTTTTTGTAGTATTTAATGATATTTAATCTAAATCATTTAAAAACCATAAAAAAGAAACTAATAAGAATGACAAAAAACACACACACCAAAAACTAAATTACTAAAACGTTAAATTAAATTAAATAGAAAGTACGAAAAACTACAATAGTTTGGGTTCAATATAATGTTTCTGAAAGAAGTCTCTTCTGCTCACCAAAGCTACATTTGTTTGATCAAAAATACAGTAAAAATTCTCCTTGAATTTTGCAGAAGTCGACATGCTGACGGTTTGATGCTATCAGGTGTGCGGGACTAATATCTGCTCTGACTCCACACGCTAAACATTTACATCCTGGAGCAGATATTCATCTACACACTAAACACACAACTCCAGCATCTCGGCCTGACCGCTGTCTGCAGCGTAATGAAGCGGCTTGCGGCCTCCTTCCAGAGTCCTGTTCACATCCTCAGCCTGCACAACAACACACAGCACACCGTTACATTACAGTAACACACACGCTTTAAGTTCATATTTTATACGATCTAGGAAACTTTAGTCATTATAAATAATGGCTAGAATATTCAATAATATTATTCAATATAATTATAGAAATAGTTTATTATTTTAAAATTATTTATTTATTTGTTATTATAATAATAATATTGAATTACATTATCTAATGGGGTTAGCGTTCATCATTAAATAATATTTAATAATAATAATAATAATAATATTTATTTTCATAATTTATAATTATTTATTTATTATTATATAATAATATTAAATTATATTATCTAATGGGATTAGGGTTCATTATTAAATAATTTCAATTCAATTCAAAAGCTTTATTGTCAATCCCCAATGGGGTAGAAAATTGTCTTTAGTATATATATTTAATAATAATATTTATTATTTAATATAATTATATTGGATATTCAATAATTCAATGTTCAATTGAATAATTACACATCCTTTTAAATTTTTTTTATATGGTTTAGGATACTTTAGTCATTAAATAATATTATATTTTTAAATATAATTATATAAATAGTTTATCATCAGTATTAACTATTATAGTAATAAAATAATATTTAATAATATTAAATACATTCTAATAAAAATAATATTAAATATGCAGTAATATAATTTTATGGTAAATTTAATAGCAAACAATAATAATAATAATAATATTATGTATGTTATCATAGAAATTCTTAAACAGAGTTTAAATATTTCATATAATTTTAATAACGTAATTTATTAGTATTATGTTTTAAACTCAGATGTTTTTGATGCTGTTTTGCAGTATTTCGTTCACTGACTTATCCCAAAATAGACATAAATAGATGATTATTTAATCCATAAAAATGACAAAACAAGCATACGACATCACCTGATCATCTGAAGTCATCTATTAGACCTTACTCAATTCTCAGAGGATGTTTATTTCTTTAAAATAAATATATTTCTTAGGGAAGCACTGCTTTTGCTGTTTTTACACTTTTTTACACTATTTGTGCCTTTAACATTATGTAATAATCACTCCACTATGTGTCGTGACTCGTATCTAGCTGTGAGTACATAACACGAACCTCAAGGCTTTTATTCCTTAAGTCTGATGATGAGCACATTCACACAGCAAACCATCATGTGAACCTGCTGTGAGTGTAAACTGCTGAGCTAAACAGATCACACACACACACACACACACAC